CGAATAACCTTAAATATAATAGCAAATATATGAGTGGAATTCCAGTATGTGTGTTTTTGGGAGTAGGAGTGAGCTTGGGTTGTGAAGCCCAAGAACTATTGTCACTGAGTTTGGGGACTTGGATAGTTTGCTTATCTGCAGAGGTGGTGAATTGATGGACAGGTTACAGAATTGGCTGAAATCGACAACCAAGTTAGTTCTGAGGGCATCAGTGGGTCCAGCTAGAGCCACAGAGTATAAAATAAAAGCAATAAGAGAAGATGAGAGGGAATCCAGTGTGCTAGAGAGTTGTATGTGCCACTTTGAATTACCAGAGGCAGGACAGGGCAGTGGTAATCTCTGGATGGAAGGTGATGAAGGATTTGTCTTTTAACTCTTCCCTTGCCACTCCCCAGCTGCTCACTTTTTAATAGTAAGCATTACTAATTTTTAATTAGAAAATATATACAGCATAGGAAATATAGTCAATAATATTATAATAACTATATATCATTATATACAGTTACTGGAAATATCAGGGAGAACATTTTGTAAAGTATATGATTGTTTAACCACTATGTTATACACCTGAAACTAATACAAAATAGCATTGAATGTAAACTGTAATTGGAGATTTTTTAAATTAAAAATTATATAATTTACTAAAGATATAAAAAATATTTTACAGTAGATTGATAGTATGACTTGGGGAAAAGATAAGACTTAAGAAGTTAAATAACTCCTTGATTTATTTTTAAAGGTTCTGATTCCCCCTAACACACATGTTCACTCCTGTTTTCTCATGTCTAAAATTTTTCCTAAGAGATTTGTTCCCAATATTTTTGATCCCTGTGAGAATGTTCCCACAAGAAGTAACACATCCCCCTTTCCCAGTTATTTACATCAATAATATTCAGCATGTGGCTCTTCCATTGCAACTATTGGTTTTTCAAAGCCCTATAATTTTGGAATTGGAATGTCATATTCCAATTTGAGAAGTCTTTATGTATTTTTAAAAAAAAACTTATTTTTTAGGGCTGCTTTAGGTTTCCAGCAAAATTGAGCAGAAGGTACTGAGGTTTCCTACAGACCCCCTGCCTGCAGCTTCTCTCCTTGTGAAACTGTAGGCCCAAAATATGGTGGAGGAGCTGTCCTTCCCCCCCAGCCCCAGTCCAAGACTAAAACACTGAAGTTCCCAAACTTTTATGTACTTGGCAACGCCTGGGGAGGCTTCTGGACCAGGGCCGTGGAGACCTTCAACAAGGGGGCACCCCGCTCTTGGGAAACTGGATGTGTGGCTGCAGTTATGGGAAGGCAGGAGCCAGGGAAGGAGCCGCAGGCTCAGCTGGGGATGCCCATGAGCCTGTGTCCTCTCCCAGGGAACCATCCTGTGGTCACCCATCCATTGACACTCAGTGAGGGGACGGAGAACACAATGGTAGCTGCTTCCTTGAGCCAGAAGTGTCAAGATGCTTGTCTGCCTTGGCCACAGCCTCCCTGCGTGCTAAAGGGGAGGAGGGGGAATGAGAATAGAAGTGAAAGAATGGGAAACTCCAAGGTGATGAGATCCACGAATGAAGGAGCCACTTTTCAGAAAAAAATTTTCCCCCTGCAAAGTCCCTTTTATAGTTAGATGTTTTCTTATTTATATGGACTACAAATAAGATAAAGATACCCTGTAAAAGTTGATATTTACTATGGAAATTCTCAAACATATGTTAAAGTAGGGAGACTGATATCATGAACCTCCATCTACCCATTGCTCAGGTTCGGCAATTACTTGTCCACTTTTATAGCTCCCTTACCTCCCCTTCCTCAAGCTGAATTATTTAGGAGCAAATCCCAGCCATTTTATCATTTCAAAGAGAAATACTTGGTATGTACCCCTAAAAACTAAAAGGACTAAAAGGAAGAATTCTGATGATTTATAAATCTTAGCCTTGTCTTCTGACCATTCTTCTTGCACCGCTGCCCTCTGAGTTTTGCCACTCACCAGCTATGTGACCACCGGCAGCAAGTCATGTACCTGTCTGGACTCGAACTTTTCCCACCTTAGTGGGAGAAGTTGGTTATTTCTCAGGTCTCTTCCAGAGACAAGTAGATTTGGTACAGGATCTATTTGCGGCTTGTTTTTTTGGTGCAGTGCCCAGTTCAGAGTCAAGACCTTCTCAGTCTTCACTTCCCAGAGGCTGCTAAGTGGCAGAATCTTTAACTTGGAGCTTTAAAAAGGAAACGAGCCTTGGAACCAGTCCTCAGAGCAATTTTGTGTGGCCATCGGCATCTCACGACCTCAATTCTGGCAACCTCAATTCATCTTGACAAGTGTTCCACTGAGCTGTGATGCTAGGAAGGTTCAAGTGTCCAAATAGATCCTCCTTTTAAGAAGACCATCCCACCCTAGCCAATTTGGATCAGTAGTTAGTGTTGGCCCGCGGACTGAGGAGTCCCGGGTTTGATTCTGGCCAAGGGCATGTACCTCGGGTGTAGGCTCCATCCTGGCCCTGGTCGGGGCTCATGCAGGAGGCAACCAATTGATGTGTCTCTCTCACATCAACGTTTCTCTCCCTCTCTCTCCTTTCCACTCTCTCTGAAAAGCAGTGGAAAAAATACCCTTGGGAGAGGAATAAAATAAAAAAAAAAAAAAGAAAAAAAGTTAAATAAATAAATAAATAAATAAGACCATCCCTCCCTCCCTGGCCAGGTGGCTCAGTTGGCTGAGCATTGTTCCATGCATCAAAGGGTTGCTGGTTCAGTTCTTGGTCAGGTCACATGCCCAGGTTGTGGGTTCGATCCAGGGTCAGTGGGGTGCATACAGGAGGAAAGCCATCAATGTTTCTCACATCTCTCTCTCTTTCTCTCTCTCTCTCTCTCTCTCTCTCTCTCTCTCTCTCTCTCTCCCCTTCCTTTCTCTCTCTCTCAAGTCAATAAAAACATCTTTTTAAAAAAGACCATCCTAAAGGCAATAGCTAGAGGGGGTAAGTTACTCTCTTATACAGGGAACTGTTTGGTGTCCTGCTGCAAAGATACCCATTTTACAAGCAAATCAATGGAAAGTGAAGTAAGGTAGGTAGGTGCCCTTAAGGCTGCCTGGTAAATAAAGGATTAAGTCCGGAATAGAATTTGTCTTGAACTTATTGTAGAGGCTGAGGTTTAGGGGAAGGTAGGGGTCCTCTTTGGTTAATGGAGGAAACTTTGGGGGAGATGATACCCAGCCCAGAGGGGCACTGCCAATGAGACCCTCACAGCGTGTGCCGTGAGCTTTCGTGGGCACCCTCCCATGGGTTTCCCACACCATCATTAGAACTAGGTCGATGGGAGGGTGAAGAGTAGGTGGCCCAGCATCTCTCAGCTGGGCAGTGAGGGAGACAAGCTCTGGCCCAGGGTTTCTGGCTGTTGCAGGCATCTGTCCTGTTCCTCCACGGCTTGAAGAAAACCAGGGAAAGGAAACTGGAGGAAGACTATTTGAAAAGGAAACTGTTGGTTGTCAGTGTACTGGTAGAAGAGCAAATGCAAATGCTTCAAAAATTTTTTTTGAAATCACCACGACCCAAAGAAGGAAAAAAAATGAAGTACTCTAATGGAAAAGGCCTCCAAAATTACCATTTTAAAGTACAAGCTCTCATCAGCTCTGACGTTTGGCTGGGAGTTAATGGAAGTTATTGACAGGGATTATAGTTTTGGTGCCAGGGTTTTAAACTGGAGGATAGGGTTAAAAGGGACCAAAGATGATTGCTGGTATTTCAAGCTGAAACCGATATTCCATAGCGGGAAATCCACTGGGTTTGGGAGTCTGGGTTGCTTACTGCATGCACTTTGAGTGTTTTGGATGATCTACCCAGCTGGTTCTGTGGAGGGTCAAAATGTGCGTTCTTTGTAAGCCTTGTGGACTTGCACACAGCCACTCGGCGATTAGATTCTGAGGCCTGTCCTTAGCAGGAAATGGTAAAAGAATCAGCAGGAAGCCGAAGCCAAGCGAAGGGAAACTCCTCCCTCCTGTCAAAGGCCAGGCCAGAGTGAAGATGAAATGGCAAGTGGGAGCCGTAGGGACAGATGCCTTGAAAGGGAGCGTGGCTGAATCTCACAAGGAAGAAAGGAAAAAGCATGTGCCCCTTGTTTATTGTGTGACTTTAATGTGGAGCCAGCGGGTACCTGGCATTCCTCAGTCCTGCCAAAGTCTGAACACCATCCCTGGGACCTGGGAAAATGCTGTAGCTTCATTCACAGGGGCAGTGGACTGTGTATTTTCTGAGGTCCAGCAGCCCACTGAAGGGACAACCTCCCCTTGTTTCAGACTTTCAGCTTACTCGGGGCCAGATGACCCAAAACTCAAGTTGAAAAATTTTACCAGTAGAAAAGATGAAAGTGAAAATGGCATCGAATCACAAGAAATAGTGTGAAGGAGCAGAGGGATGCAAAATCACTTGTTTCACCCAGTTCTTTGCAACAGAAAATACTCCATTCTTGAGGTAGAGGGGAGAGCCTGTGATCCAACAGGAGAAACTGAGTCCGAGAAGGAGGAACTGGCTATCTGAACTCTGACAACTCTTTCTTGTAGATGAGGACTCAGCTTTGAAGTCTCACTTCTTGAGCTGGGCTCAGTGAGTTATGCAACTCCTGAAGAAAACGAAAATTAAGGCTATTTTATGGAAGCTGCTCAGCGGTGAAAAAGCAGTGCCTGGCTCCCTTATCTCATCAACAGTGCAGGGGGCTCAGTGCTAGCAATTTCGTGTTTAGACTGTTACTTGAAGAAAGAAAAAACAAACTCTACTGGATGCTGATTCTACTGTTTTAGTGGAAAAAATTTTCTAACAGGCAAGTGGCAAACAACAAAGCTTTTGAACACCCAGACCTAGGAAAGTAATGCTGTTTCATAACGGGTATGAATAGTTATTTCACTGCCTTTTTTTTCTTCTTCAGTCTTGCTGGTTTTTTGATGTGGATCTCTTTTTATTTGTTCAGGAAATTATGACGTGTGTTCTGGGCAGGGTCTAAGTTTTAGAACACTTTCTAAAAGGGACAGAGAGCACCTTCTGCATTTCCTCATCGAGGGGCTGGCGTGCAGGCGGCAGAGCTGAAGCTGGTCACGATGCAGGTGCTTCTCCCGTGCAGCCGGCTGGTCCTGGCTCTCGCCCTCCTGGTTTTGGATTCTTCTGTTCAAGGTAAGCCCCTGGACGCTGCTCTCCCCTAATCTTCTAAGCCCCAGGGTCCAAACAGATGATTATATTCACTTTAAGGTACAGGATGTATTATATTGTGGGAAAGTAGGCAGAGGAAAAAGGATTTGTGGTGGCTGAACTTCTTAGTGTGAGTTTGGTCAAGTTTGATAGCAAGAAAAATTAAACTCTCAGGCAGGTGCAGCCTTGTAAACTCTTACAATGATTGAAACGCACTATTTTAGTTTTGGATGAAAGTGTATGGTTTATAAATTTTTTTTTTAAAAAATATATCTTTATTGATTTCAGAGAGAGGAAAGGAGAGGAAGAGAGAGAGATAGAAACATCAATGATGAGAGAGTCATTGATCGAGCCCACAACTGGGCATGTGCCCTGACCGGGAATCGAACCCTGATCGCCTGGATCCTAGGTCGATGCTCAATCGCTGAGCCACGCCCGGCCGGGCTGGTTTATAAATTTTTAAAAGCTCAGAAAGGAATAACAACCTGTTGCACGGAGGAGATGGCACCGATGGGTGTTTTGGAGTACTTACCCACCCCCGAGGGGCCACATCTATCCCAAGTTTTCATGTAGCCCAGGGGTGTCATAATTATTGTAACTCTGTACTATTTTTTAATCAGAGTACATTGACTGCGTATTTTTCATGTTTTAAAACTTGATACTTAGTGAAAATTCAGTGATGGTTAGGCATAGTTAATGAAAACCCTCGCAGATTTTAAAGAGAGACCAAAGAATTTTAATATTTGTGCTGTTGGTCAGAGAAACATCACATTTGGAAATTTCTTGTTAGATTTCTCTGTGATTCATGGTTTAATCAGGCTGAAATAACTTAAAACCTTGAATGACTCAGGAAACAAAAATGGCCAGTTTGTAAGAAATACGCACTGCCTGCTCCTTTGATAAATAAGGAATCCTGTCTAAATAAGGCAGAAGGTCATGGACTGATAAATAGGTGGGAGAATTCATAGTAAAAGAGCATGAAGTTCCCCAAATTGTAAAGGAAATATTGAGTCATGGTGACACATATGTCCCGGATTTGTTTCTTTAAAATGACTTTTAGTTGTCTTGTTTTTACTTCTGGTGGAAATGAAATCGTATAAGATGATCTCAGATACATAAAGTATGTATTGGAAATTTATAAAATCATTTTTAAATACAAATAGCAGCACAAAAATGTAGTTTTACATGTTACAAAAAAATGTAGTTTTACCTGGAATATCTGTAGCCTGTTGCTAGCTTCTTGGGGTCCTTCCATGTCCTATGCTTCTGCAAAGTTCATTACATCCTCACGAAAAACTTCCACAGACTCACGTAGTAAGATCTTTATTTTATTTTATTTTATTTTATTTTATTTTATTTTATTTTATTTTATTTTATTTTATTTTATTTTATTTATTTATTTTTATTTTTAAAAATATATCTTTATTGATTTCAGAGAGAGGAAAGGCGAGGGAGAGAGAGAGATAGAAACATCAATAATGAGAGAGTCATTGATTGAGCCCGCAATCCGGGCATGTGCCCTGACCCGGAATAGAACCCCGATCGCCTGGATCTTAGGTCGATGCTCAACCACTGAGCCATGCTTGGCCGGGCAAGATCTTTTTTTTTTTTTTAAATGAAATTATTGAAGAACAAACAGTAAGTAATGTTGCTGAAACTTTTCCACTAATTTATTTATTTTTAAAAGTATAAAACATTTTTAGTTGTAGGGAATAGGCTTTACTTGGATCTTTTAGGGAATATCTTTTTTTAAAAAACATATCTTTATTGATTTCAGAGAGAGGAAAGGAGGGGGGAGAGAGAGATAGAAACATCAATGATGAGAGAGTCATTGGTCGGCTGGCCTGCAACCTGGGCATGTGCCCTGACCGGGAATCGAACCCCGATCTCCTGGATCCTAGGTCCATGCTCAACTGCTGAGCCACACCCGGCTGGGCTGGGAATATCTTCTTCTTGATGAAATAATTCCATGTGTTCTCACAAGATCCAGAGCAGGGAGGTCCATGTTTGTGGCATAGACAAGAGTGACCAGTGGTGCTGGGTCTTCCCTGGCCAGAGCTATGGAAGTCTTTACATCTTCAAAATTTCCCAGAAATGGCACATTTCCCACTAAGTTTCAACAGGTAAAACTAGGATTAAAACAAAAATGTTCCTCCATAGCCTGGCCGGCCGTGGCTCAGCGGTTGAGCATCGGCCTATGAGCTAGGCGATTGCGGTTCGATTCCCGGTCAGGGCACATGCCCGGGTTGCGGGCTCGATCCCCAGTGAGGGGTGTGCAGGAGGCAGCCGATCAATGGCTCTCTCATCACTGATGTTTCTCCCTCTCTCCCTCCCTCTCCTTTCTTCTCTCTGAAATCAATAAAGAAATATTAAAAACAAAAAAAGGAAATGTTAAAAAAAGATGTTCCTATGTAGTAGGTATTCATTAAAGAGAAGTAAAGAAAGACACCATTATGCAACTGCATAAAGCACTAGCATTTATGTCATCACCGTGTAGGTTTAGCTCTTCACTGGAAAAGAAACCAAAAGAGAGAAAATGAATAAACTGAAAAACTAGGGTGTTTCCAAAGGAGAAGTGTGCCTGGTGTTGGAATTACAGGCTTGTGCCCACTTCTGAGTTAGAAGCGGAATAGTTGCCCACCCATGGCGGCGTGTGAGCGACAGCTCAGGCCTGCGATGCGAAGGGCCACCCACTGTTCCACTGTACAGCCACATGATGTCAGATATGATTCCGTAGCGTTCTTTCCCCACTTTTATTTTTTTTTACTTAAACCATTGGTTTGACTGATCAAATTAACTAGGCTTTTTGGCTTGCTTTTACTGAGTATCTTCAAAACATCTTAGGTCACTGTATTAGTTTGCTAGGGCTGCCATAACAAAGTGCTACAGACTGCTGGCTTAAACAACAGAAATTTATTTCCCCACAGTTCTGGAGGCTAAAAGTCCTAGATCAAGGTGTCAGCAGGGTTGACGTCATTCTGAAGCCTCTCTCCTTGGCTTAGTCTGGCTGTCTTCTCTCTGTATCTTTACATGGCTCTTCCTCTGTATCTGTCAGTGTCCTAGTCTCCTCTTCTTTAAAGGACACCACCAATATTGGATTAGGGGTCATCCATATAACCTCATTTCAATGACCTCTTCTAAGGCCCTATTCCAAAGACACTCCCATTCTGAGGTACCGGGAGTTAGGACTTCAACAGATGAATCGGGGGTGGGGGGGGGCACAATTCAGCCCATGTCAGTTACTACAAATCAAACCCAAGTAAAGACACGGTATAAAACTGTCTACGGAGTCAAAGCAATGTAAGCTTGGCAATGTGGGGGAGACCCTGGAGAGTGCAGATGGCTAATCAATTTAATGTAGAGCTCCAGGGGATTATTGATAAGGCCTGTGAATCCTAAACTCTCTTATTGCCTCTATTTCAAAGATGCCTGTAAAGAGAGAAACTGGAAAATCCATGAGCAGGTATGGCAAAGGGGTCAGGGCCAGACCAGGTGTCCACTCCATCCTGTCTCCCAGATCACAGTAATGTTACTGATCCCACCCACGTGTGCTGCTGTTTGATTGTAATGGGCTTTCCCATCCATTCTTTGCTAAATGATCAGCACATTCCCCCATGAGGAGGAATTAACACCAATTTAGAGACGAGAAAGCTGGATCTTACCCTCATCATCTCATTTGCTCTTTACATTACACTTTTGCAAATAACTTATGAGACTCGTCCAAGGCCAATTACAACTAATTAATGGCAGAACTGCTCATCTGATTTCAAGGTCAGTTAACTTTCTAGTAATTTGGTTATCTTCTTGGTGGATTGGAGATTTTATTTAAAACATAAAAAACTCGCTTTGGCTATAGCCTTTGCTATAAAGTTTACCATTGAGTTGAGGAACAGAGAGGGAGAAAAAAAAAAGGGAGAAATTGAAAGTAAACTTGATACTTTTTATAGCTTGTCAAACCTTTCAAGGGTGGAGCCACCTCTCCATATTGTAGAATTGACTGGCCAGTAGGAAGCAACTTCAACTTAGTGAGATCTGTTTGCTGCCTAACAGCGAATCAAAATGGCCTTTTTTCCCCTCCTCCCATGGCACTTTCTGCTTAAGTTTCTCTAACACTCCTGCACCAAGTCCCCATTAAGAAGAGGAAACTAGTCCTGCTGGGTGGGGCTCAGTGGTTGAGCATCGACCTAGGATCCAGGAGATAGAGGTTCAATTGCCAGTCAGGGCACATGCCCGGGTTGCGGGCTCGATCCCCAGCAGGGGGCTTGTAGGAGGCAGCTGATCAATGACTCTCTCATCATTGATTTTTTTTAATCTCTCTCTCCCTCTCCCTTCTCTCTGAAATCAATAATAATAATAATAAACATATTAAAAAGATACAGAGAGCTTAGTGGGGTAAGTTATTTGCTCTGGTAATGTTTATTTATAGACAATATTTTGGTAAAGCTGGAATAGTGGCAGGGAGAGAGAAGAGAGAAGGAGAGAGAGAGGGGTGGTGGGCAGAAAGGGAAGGGGATTCTAAACAAAAGCCATTCTCCCTGGAATCCGTGACAAAATCAACCAGCAGATCCAGTAAGTGGGGCCTTTTAGGAAGATAATCTTTTGGTCCACGGGCATACTTCCTTTTATTTTATTAAAATATGGTAACCGTAAGATATTTCTCTCAAGCAACATAGAGTCTGGATACTCCCACAGCGTCAGGGCCTGAAACTGTTGAATTTTCACACCCTGCCAGCACCCTTGAATAGACTTGTCAGGAACTATGGCCTGTAATCATATTCTTTATTTTAAAAACATCAGCTCCACATCAGATAAGCTATCTTTGATTCTTTATAAAATTTTAAACAGCTTTATTGAGATAGAGTTCATATGCCATGCAATTCACCCATTTCAAGTGCACATTTCAATGGTTTTTAGTGCATCCACAGATACATACAACCATCACCATAGTCAATTTTAGAACATTTTATCACTCAGAAAAAGAGACTCCCTTTACAAAAGTAAAAAGCTGAGATTCTGAACTCTGGGGAAAATTTTGTGTTTTAGATTTTTTTTTTTACTAGTTTACTAAAGTTGTATTTGTTATACCAGTGAAAAGATGTGGTAAATCACCTGTATTCTCCTCATCAAGTGTTAGTTTTACTTTTCTGATTAATTTCCTATCTATGCAGATATTTCTTGGGCTTAATTTTCAGTGCATCAACTGCATGTAGAGGAGACTGCCTAGACCTAGCACTTAAAGATACCTGCTCTGTCCAAAGTGGTAGCCACCAGCCACTCGTGGCTGCTGAGCACTTAAAATGTATGTAATGGGGCGAGTTCAAATTGAGACCTGCTTTCAGTGCAAAATATACACCAGATTTGAAATCTTAGTAGGAAAAAAAGAATGTAAAAATTCAATTGATAACTTTTATATTGATTAAGTAACAACATTTGAATATGTTGGTTTAAATAAAGTGTATTAAGATAAATTCCACTTGTTTCTTTTTACTTTTTAAAATATGGCTGCTATAACATTGAAAATTCCACATGTGGTTTTGTCTTATATTTCTCTCAGACAGCGTTGGTCTAGACCAGAGTTTTTCAACCATTTTCATCTCATGGCACACATAAACTAGTTACTAAAATTCTGTGGCACACCAAAAAATATATTCTATTTTTTGCTGATCTGACAAAAAAATAGGTATGATTTTGATTCATTAATACCGGACGGCTATTGTTGTGTTGGCTGTTGTCATTTTTTTATTTGACGATCTAAAGGAAAAGAGGTCAGTGTCCCTGACTAAATAGTTCGGTATTGCATGTTTTAAAAATTCTTGGCTTTCACCAGGTAGCTTGGTTGATTGGCACATTTGGAGATGTGCCAAAGATGCACCAAGGTTGCAGGTTTGATCCCAGGGTACGGGCATGTGCAGGAGACAACCAGTGAATTCATGAGTGGGTGGAACAACAGATAGATGTTTCTCTCTCTCTCAAATCAATTTTTAAAAAAAGTTAAAAAAAATTCTTGCTGCACACCAGTGTGCCTGTTGCCACAGCAGTTGAAAAAAATCAGTGATCTAGACAACATAGGGTGTGAAGACAGCGCCCTCTGCTGGAGATGTTGGATTTTTTTTTTTTAACCCACCTACAAGATTCGGCTTCTAAGTAGTGCATAGATTCCTAACTTAGGCTGCTTCAGGAAAGAACCAGAGGAGAAAGAAAGAGCTAAAATGTATTAAACGTATCACATACATTCATCTTGCTTTAACAGGAAATCTTTGGGACACTATTGTTAGAACAGTAATTTAAACTCTGGTCTCTCTACAAGCTATTCTCTATCAGAGAAAGGTCTTTGTTTTTTCCCTAAGCAGAGAAACTAGCACTTAAAGAGCTCTGACCACGGTGCTATTCTAAAAACTTAATATTTATATCTCATTATTAGTTCTACTACTGTCCCCATTTTATGGATGAGGCAATTGAAGTATAGGGAGGTAAAGTTGGTCAAGGTCACACAGCTGGTAAGGGGCAGGCAGACATTGTGATGTCATCTTGCTACCTGACCCCCAGCCTCCAGGCAGTGAGGGAGCTAACTCATTTTAAATGACTAGCTGTCCCAGACCAGATATTGTATTTAGGAACAATGGGGAAGATTGTGACAGACCAGTAGTTCCGAAGGAAGGAAGGAAGGAAGGAAGGAAAGAAAGAGGAATATTCACTTTTTCCTGCATTAGAGTCTTTCTTTTGTTTATATTTTTAAAGAAATATTGTTTATTACAGCAATTTGAAGTTTAAGTGAGAAAAATATTCATCAGAGTCTACTACGAGTTATTTTTGTGTATTTTCTCCCATTTCTCCTCCATATCTGTTTATGTAGTTTCATCAGCTATTATGCATATACACAACTATTTGCATAAACAGTGGTATTCTGCTTTTTTCACTCATTTTAAAGTAAAGACTTTCTATGATGTTACATAGTCTTTCCCATTTGGTTAACATTCTCTCACATGAATGGCAAATAATTTGTTTGAGCATTTTCTGTTGTTTTGATTACTTAGTTATTTTCTTATTTTGAGTAATACTAAGGTGAACAGTTTCATGTATCTTTTATATTTTATCTATTTCTCTAGATACATACAAACATGTATCATATGTATCTTAATGATATAACTTGGCATTGCTGTATTTATAAAATTAATCAGAAATACTAGCTAGAAAAAAATTGAGGAGATAATAGAGAGTCATGAGGAAAAGGAGCATAATGAGGAAAGAGGACATTTTGAAAAAGTTCAGTGGTTCTGCAGTCTTTTAAGAACAAAGTTCTTGACTATTCCATTGAGATGTAAGGTGAACTTGACCTTACAACCTCTGATACTTGCTGTCAGAAGAGAATGGGACACAGGTTGTGCAGACTCTCCTAGAAACACAGATACCCAGCAGGGGAAAGAAAAGCAAATCTCCAAAATCCATGATCTCTGGGGAGTTGGGTAGCGAGATTAGAGGTAATTTTCCTTTTCTTTCGTTTGCCATATTTTTCAAAGTTTTCTGTTATGGACACATATTCTTTTTAACATAAATATTATTGTTAAAAATTGCAACAAAAGCAGTCTAGATAGTAAGGACTATCCAGATAGACTCCATTTCTAGGAGAGAGTACTATAAAAGCTAAAGACCCTTCTTGACTAGTCCCTGAGTTAAAACAAAGTCAGGAAGTCTTTTGACAAATTGCATTGCAGTTTGAGTCCATTTATATAAAATTCTAGAAAATACAAACTAATCTATAATGACAGAAAACAGATGAAAGGCTGTGGGGTGGTGAGAAGGAATCAGGAGGAGGGAGGGAGAGGGGCAGGATTACAAACTCTGGGGCATGTTGGATATGTTCATACTCTTGACTGTAGTGATGGTTCCAAGGGAGCGTACATATATCAAAACATTAAATTGTACACTTTAAATATGTACAGCTTGTTGTATGTCAATTCCACCTTAATGAAGCTGTTAAAAAATAATTTTGAGTAGATAATGCATACATAGGGCTCAAAAATCAAACGGCTCAAAAGGAGATGCAGTGAAAAGTCAGTGTCCTTCCTTCCACAGTCTTCCAGCCACCAATTCCCTCCACAAAGGTAATCAGTTAGCTGTGTATCTTTTTAGAGGCTTTCCATGCACGTAAGCATATATGTAAATCTATTCTTAAAAACACACACACACATAAGTGGTAACACACAATGCATATCGTTCCTTTTTTTAAAAATTAAACTTAATAATAAACCTTGGAGAGTATTATATATCAGTACCCAGAGAGCTGCTTCATTCTTTTAATAGCTGTATAGTATTGTAGGTTTTATCTTACTTTAAATAATATTTAATTTTCCCATCTTTTTTTCATTTTCATTTTTTCTTTTTTTTGATTTTTAGAGGAAAGGAGAGAGAGAAACATCAATCGGCTGCCTCCTGCACACCCCCTACCTGGGATGTGCCCCATCCCGGGCATGTGCCCTGACACGTAATGGAACTGGTGACCATTCGGTGCATGGGACAGTGCCCAACCAACTGAGCCACGCAGGCCAGGGTAGCACTGTGTCTTTTTTTTCTTAAGTAGTTGTTATGATTTGTACAGGACAACAATGTGCTGGGAATTAAAACCAACTTTCCTGCTTTTCAAGAATTTTATATGTCAACTATAATAAAATAAAAAGGAATTTTAGACATGCCCCTTCTTGCTAGGTGATTATTAGTTGCACTTATGTGAATGAAGTGTGTGCTGGGATGGGGAGGAGATGAACCTTTGAAAGGTGAAGTATTCTCACCACCAGGCCTCCATCCTTGCTAAATTGAGGAATGAAGAATTTATTTCATGAATTAGCTAGGGATCTCCTATATAATCTCATAATACCAGATTTGTAGCCTTTCACATAGAAATTAAACTCAGAAGAAGCTATGACAGACTAGGATATTCCAAGCCGTCTGTCCCTCTGTGAGCCTTGTTCTTTTGAAATCTGACTCAATCGGAGCACAAAAAAAGAGGCCAAGTGTTTAAACTGCTTTTCATCCCCAAGAACGCTCTATGGCCCTAAGAAATAGGGCTCTGTAATATGTCGGGTATATTCAGTATATTCCTTAACCTTTCCAAACATGATTTGACTCATGGCCTCAGTTTTCCTTTGTGTAAAATGGAGATAATAGTACAGACATAATACTAGTTAACATTACCGAGCGTTAACTGTGCGCCTGGCACTATGTTACGGTCTTTACATGCATTTCTCATTTAATTTTTGTGTCCAGCTTATGAAAAAGAGACACTGGTAGTATCTTTGTTTCACAGCGAGGGCTCAGGGAAGTGAAGGGTTCACTTCACTCCAGGCAGCTGATCGCCGAAGCCGATTTTAACCTTCAGCTCCGGGCTACTTTGTAAGGGTGTTGTGAAAACGACAAATATGACGTGGAAAAGGCTGGCACACAGTGGGTGCTCCTGTCATATTAATGGTCATAAAACCTGTCCACACCTTGCCTTCTACCAAATTTAGAATCTATTTAATTAAACATTTCTTAGAGACAGAGCGATCAGAAGCTGAGAGATACTTACTAACCACGTGGGTTGCTTGTTTGGACAGGTTTACCTGTGCGGAGAGCCAGGTACCAGAGGGTCCGCTGTAATCCCGACAGTACTTCTGCAAACTGCATTGATGAAAAGGGACCAATGTTCGACCTGCTTCCAGGAGAATCCAACAGAATCCTCTCTCCAAGGACTGACCCTTTCTCGTAAGTGGACTTCCTCTACTTTTACTTCCACCCATCTGTTGTGTGGAGGTGGGAGGGTTGCCTAGGGTGTTTTTCTTCAGGCTCTTGCTTTGGGGTTTGGTTTTCACTGCACGGCACATGGTAAAATGTACTGTGTTTTCTGGTAGATGAGATGTGCAAGAATACACAGTTCAGGTATCTTCTGCAAAGTCTTTTGATTTGGGCAGAGAGAAAAATTGAGTGAAAAATTTATGAAAATATTTTTCACCAACAGGTACTGAAAATAACGGAACATTATTTATGTAAATGAGCACAATAGATATGAAAATCTAATAAAAGTCCATCAACCTAACAGATTAAAAAAAATGAGGTATATCCCTGAAGAGTAATATTATTTAGTCATAAGTAAGGATGAATACTGGCACATGCCACGACATGGGTGAATCCTGAAAACATTATGCCAAGTGAAAGAACCAGACACAAAAAGCCACATATCATATGATTCCACTTATATGAAATGCCCAGAACAGACAATTCTGTAGAGGCAGAAAATAAGTGGCTGCCAGGAGCTGGAGGGAAGGCAGGAACAAAGAGCGACTGCTAATAGGTGTGGGATTCTTGAGGGATCATAAAAATGTCCTGGAATTATATAGTGCTGATTGTTTAAAAAGAAGAAACCAGGGAAAAGAAGAATACATGGACATGACTTACAGAAAGAAAATCACTGCCCTGGTTGGTTAGAGTGTTGTCCCGATACACCAAGGTTGGGGGTTCGATCTCCAGTCAGGGCACATACAAGAATCAGCTAATATAAATAAGTGGAACAACAAATTGATGTCTGTCTCTCTTTCTCTTTCTTTCTCAAACCACTTTAAAAAAAAGCAAAACCCAAACCTCTTCTTGATCAAATAAAACCTGCTTTAAAATTGCAAAAAAGATTCAGTAGGAACACATATGCGACAAAAAATTGAATTGCATTAGAATCCATTATTTCGATGAATATCAAAGTTATATAACATAGAGCAAAAACAAATTATTAAAAGAATGATGCTCAGAGTTTTAACCCTCAGAGTTAAACCTAGCAACTCACTCTTCTCAAGGCCAGGCAAGTGATCCTGCCCAAACAGGGAGGTGCACCATGGCTTTGGGCTTCCTGGTGACCCTCTTCATCTCCCGTTCACTGTGCAGGAGATTCCGTCATCTCCATCCCCAAATGCAGCTCCAAAGGCCTGCCCTGGGCTTTTACCTTGTTTTGCCCCCAGGGGCATTTTAGCTACACAGATGCATTACATCCCTAGAAAGAGAATCCCAGGATCTTCCCTCCTATGTGTCTGTCTTTCTTCTTCATGGTCCATGACGCCCGCTGAGGCCGTCAGCACAATGAAACCAAACCCACAGGATGGAAGCAGGCTATTCTGCATTTTTTCTAGATCTTTGAGTTGCAAGTAAACCTGGGGCTGATCACTGCACACTTGTTCCACCTGCCTGTGAGGTTCACGACAATTTTCCCAGCTCTGTGGTCACCCATAATTTCAAATTGGCCAACGTAACCAGCTTCATCATCACACTTAGAAGCCCAACGATGGCTTCGGGGTGCAGTCTAACAAGAACCTGGCCTTTGCCTCTCTTTTTGGCACTGTTGATACTCTTGAGAGCACAGCCAGGACAGCTGTGAGCACCATTGTGGTGGCACAGAAAGATGACAGGAAGAGCCCCTGTGCTTCTACTGCAAGTCCACACGTTAACTTTGAACTGGTATTACAGGACCCTTCATTACTTTAAGTCATAGGTTTCAACAGCGATTCACTGAAATCTAAAATATTAGAGGAATAACCCAAGTTCTCCAAAACAACTATTTTACACCATTTCTTCTCTTCTCAAATGTCAATGATTTTCCCTCTCCAGCCAGTAGCTTTCCTTCTCACTCTGACACTCCTGGCCCTGCTTCTATGTAGGCGCTGGACCGGTTTGCCCTTGGATCCATTTCTTGTCCCTCCCCCTGCTCTGTATTTGGTGGGGGGTGAGGGCTGGTCCTGTGGTCTGTATTTCTCAGGCTGTCAGAGCTGTGGCTGAGTTTGGCCAAACGGGAGGCAGGGGAGGGAGACTGGGGAGCATGGGAGGCAGGGTGGGGGGCGGGTGTTTCTTCTCCTCGCTCCCACCTTGGGTGGCACCTCTGGCAGGGCTGCGTCTCATCCACGGCTTCAGTTCCCACCAGATGCTCTTAGTCCCTGGGTTCAGATAACACCACCTCCTTGGTCCATGGACCACCTTCCATGGACCATCTGACCAAGGGAAGGAAGTATTTTCTTGCTAATCTCTGGGTTTCCTTGCTATCCCTTATTTGGCTTCACTTCTCTTCCATCATGTGTAAGCCGTTCCCTGGGTCAGATATTTAGGTAGGTCTCCTGATTGGACTCTGGCCGTGGCGGCCTCTAAGGCCACTCCTCCTTTGCTGGGTGTACCATCCCCACGCACCTGCGCCAGGGCCTCAGCTCCGCAGGTACCCTCGGAACCCAGCATCTTCTTCCCGCCAGCATGCAGACATCCTCCAGCTTCTCCTGCGTTTAGGGGAGATCCCTTCTTTGGCTCTGCACCTTCTCACCCTATTGCCCCATCCTCCACCCTCCCCGGTAGCTCTTCCCGAGCCAGTAGCCTCTGCTTGCTGTCCACCCCTCCTCTCCTTAACCCTTTCAGGTGGGACATCTGTTCCTGTCCTCTAGCCGGTGCTTGTTAAGGTCGCAATGATTCCTGAACATCCACTGGTTGCTTCTCTATGTTTAGCTTATTGGACTTCTTAAATGCCTTCAAAAACAAGTTGGCCACCCCTCCTTTGAAATGCTTTCTTCTCTGAGCTTCCATGGCCCCACCTTATCTTGGGCTTCCTTCTACATCCCTGGCTGTTCTTTCTCCTCTGCTCAATATTTGACATGTTGGTGTGGCCCTGGCTCTGTCCTGGGCCTCTCCTCTATCTGCATCCTTTCTTTAGGTGACCTCGTCCTGTTCCATGGCTTTTTAAAAAAAGTCTTTATTGATTTTAGAGAGAGGGAAGGAGAGGGAGAAAAAGAGATAGAAAGATCAATGATGAGAGTCATTGATCAGCTGCCTCCTGCAGGCCCCGCACTGAGGATTGAGCCTGCAACCCAGGCATGTGCCCTGACCGGGAATTGAACCGCGATCTCCTGGATCGTAGGTCGATGTTTGGCCACTGAGCCACACCCGCCGGGCTGTTCCATGGCTTTTAAGTGTGTGTGTGTGTGTGTGTGTGTGTGTGTGTGTGACTAACAAATCTGCATTTCCAGCCCTGATCCCTTTTCCCTGGCCCCACAGTCTAAACTAGCTATCTGGTCAACCTCTATTGCATGACTCCATTTCATTTTTCTGCAAAGCATTTAGCACCACCTGATCTTTTCACATTTTATTGTCTGTCTTCCCCACTAAGTGATAAACTTCTTGAAAACAGATCTCATCTGTCGGTCCCCATTCTATCCCAGGCACTCAGAACAGGGATCAGATGTTCAATAAATGTTTATTGAATGCATACATGAATGAAACTCTCATCTGCTGTATGGCCTGTGGTTTCCTATTTTCATGGAGAAAATGACCCATAGGCTGTGAAACTGAGCATTTGTCTCTGATACTTTGTTGCCTTCTTCTGTCACTGAGGGGTGGCACCATTGCTCAGAGCTTTTGATCTGAGTGGACGTCTAACCACCACACTAAACACAGCTGAATGAATACACTTATTCTTGGGAGGAAACTGAATGTTAATATACTGGCAAAGATAATGCTTAACTTGTTGCAAAGAATTTCTTCTGAGTGGCTTTTGTTGAAGCACTGTAAATTATTAGAAGTTTTGTAGAAATTTTAAATTAGGAAAGAATGGCATCTATCTAGGCTGACTTGTTTCCCCTTTCTTTAGTGGGAAAAAATGGAAAAAGGGTCTTTTTATTTTTAATAAGTGATTCCTTAAGTAAATTCCAAATAAAGGATTGCTATGCTAGTGATAAGAAAATTAGCATTGTTTATATGAGTTTTTAATGGATGTGAAATTAATAAATGCAATGAGTTACAGAAAATAAGTATAGGCAAACATGTGGAAAGGTCTGATTACTTTTTGTTTTAAAGCATTGAATAACTGGGAAATTTTTAACTTTCAATTTGATTAACTGGGTGGCTGCATTTATTTTCTTACATCAAAAAAATTATCACAATTATCTTCCTTATGTCTCCAACTTTACTGTGGGTTTTTCATTTTTCTGTTTTACTTCAGAATGACGAGATTCCAGGACTTGAACGATGTCTTCCCTCTTTCTGAGGACTATTCTGGATTAGGCTCTGACTTTGACTCCATATCTGGAAGTGGGTCTGGAGGTGGCTTCCTGAACGGAATGGAGAGTGAATATCAGCCAGTGGACACAGACGATGCTTTTTATTACAACTTTAAGCCCGAGCATGCCGACGACCAGGACTTGGGTCAAGATGGACCAGAAGGGAATTTTATTATGTAAAAGAGAGGGTCTCCCACCCCAACACCAGGCCGTGCATTCAGTGTATTTTGCATACTATAGTTAAGTGATTAATTTTGGGACAAAAAGCTTTATAGAAATTTAAAACATCTGAAAAAGAAGTTTAAGTTTTATCACCTTTCCCCCCATGAATTATTAAAGACTCCTTTACCTGTACTATTGTCCTAGAAGATATCTGCGCCTCCTTCATATCATAATCAACATCACTATGAATTAACTAGATTCCCCGTGTCTATCAAATTGCTTTAAAGAATAAATTATACTGTTTTTCTTTTAAAAACCAGCTTGAGAAGCAAATTGACAGGCAGTATTTCAAACCTAAGTCTTCAGGAACCTGACTCTGATTGTGACTTATAGATATGCCCTTTTTAAAATGAAAAAAACAACACATACCAAATAGATGAGACACACAGTGAATTTACAGAGTGGGGATTTGACATGCTTTGCAGCGCCATTGGGTGTGTTTGCAGAGCTACTGGACATGGTTATTTAGAAGCATAATTACTGTACAATTACAAACTTAAGACCCACATTAAAGCACAGTTGTGCTCCCAATACCTCAGACTGCTTTTCCCCTTTTTTCTGGATATCTGTGTATTTTCTAATGTTGTTCTATTAAAGCAGAAGTATAACCAAAGGGTTAAGCTGTCTGGGATCTCTTGTTCTAAACTCAGGGTAATAATTATTTTTGTTCAGATGTTTTATTAGCAAAATAGAAGTCTTATTAACAAAATATAAAATTTTTTATAGTGAAATCAAACTTTGTAACTAGGATCAAATCCTATCGTCTAGTAGATGAAGGAAGCAACGATGCCACAGCAAGGGGGTTATTCTCGTCCGGGCACATCCTCGTTTTGAAGGCTGTTCCCATTTCTGTTCCCCCCAGTCCTGTAAAGCCTGTTGCCATCATTGTCGTGGATTCTGTTCTGCACCATCCAGATCTCCTCTTCAGAACTGAGGACTTAAATTAATCTCTGCTGAAGAGAGCCGCCTTGTCCAAGGCACACCTTCTTCCCAGGGCAGCCTGTAGCAGGGACTGGTTGACGCGGGCATAGGAATGCCAGGCTCCTCCCCTGAACCTGGGGGTGACGCCCTCACAGGGTCAGAGCTCCCTGAGGGGTCCGCTGAGGTTTGGCTGGGCCTGCTTTGCCACTCTGGCTTCTTCCTTAGTCCCGCTTCCTTCCATTCCCCTCACAGCTACGCTCCCTTAGAAACTTCCAGCTTGCTAGTTTTCATCTCAGAATTTACTCCAGGGAGAATCCAACCTGTGAGGATTGGTGCCAGGACAGGTAGGAAGCAGGTGATAAAGTGGGTCTTTGGAGCTAAATCACCTGCTGCCTGACTGACAGTGAGGACTCCACTCTGGCCATAGTTGCAGCACAGGCACAAAATAGCATTGCAGTTGTTAAAACTTTCACTGATGGTAGACTGGGATGGTGTACCAGTGGAAGGAAGTGCACCAGAGCGTGAAGTGTTAGAGAAATATGGGGAAGTAGGAATGATAAAGACAGTGGTATCGGATGGCTATTGCTGGAAGCAATTAATGCTTTTAAAAAGAGATAACGAAAGGCCAAGGATGATTAGTTAAAGGCTAAATGGAAAAACCAGTGGGCCTCCTTGGCAGCATATTAAGAAACTCTTCTGCTCTGGAAAGGCAGAAAAAGCTGAGGCTCAGGCCCACGATGTAATCATAAGAATATCAAATTCAAGAATGTTTGTCAACCTAGTCAAATCTATTAGGCAAAGTCAGGGTTGGAAAAAAATGGGACCCCGAGAGATGAGAACATCCGGGTTTATACATTTAGATCTTGACTCCCCAGATTTCCTCAAGCCCTCTGAATCTAGAGAAGAGAACCACTCTAAGAACTAAGGATTTCCTCCGGCTTGAGGGTGATTAAGAGACTTCTGCCCTTCAGGACCACATGCACACTCCCTCAAAGTCTGTCCCAACCTTCCCTCCTAGTCACTAGATCATTAACTAAAGTTACAATATAAACCAACAGGCAAGTGTAGGGGGAAAGGTGATATTCTCTGAAGGTTTTACAGAACCTTACTGTCACAAACCTCGGAAGCAGAGTGTGCAACTCAATCCTAAGAGTGCTAGATCAAGGAATGAAGATAAAACATAAAGTTGGATAAGGGAGTATCTACCAGTGTTACTGGACTAAAGGTGTTTGTTTGCCTGCATACATCAAAGCCCAATAAGACACGAGCAGGAGCTTGCAGCAAAGCAGGTTAAGGGTTTATTAGTGGAGGAAGTGGCCCACATCTGGAATCACAAGTGAGCTAATGTTCAAAGACCTGGCTTCCCAGTGGCTTCTAGGGGATAGGTTAGATAGGGGAAAAGTCATCAATCATGGTAACTAAGGGAGAGAGGGTTGTGATCAGGGTTGTGGTCTCTGCTGATTGGTCAGCACTAGGGTAGGAGGTAGTTGATCATTGCATCTGGTCCTGATGTCAGCCCTGGCATCCCTTTATTTGCTTTCACTGCTTTTGGGGTTTGGAGCTGAAACACAACTGAGACCTAGATGTTACCTTTAGTTTGATTGAAACTCTGTCTCTGTGGTCAATAGACCTGGGCTTTGTTCCTAAGATTATTTGATACCAACCAGGGCCTTGTTGTCTGAGGGGCTTAATGATTAAGGGAGTGGACATGCAAGGGAGAAAAGGACACAGGTGAATCGGGGTGTTGAATGAGGCCAGTCTGAATCAAAAGGAAAGAAAGGAGAAAAGGTCATATTAAAGAAGTAAAGTTTCTACATGGGTACACCAATATGGAAGTAGTCTTTGGGGATACAGGTTTTAACACCCAGGAGAAGGTGTTGACATGCTGCCACACTGGCTCTTGGAAGTTTGGAGAGAGTAACAGCCCCTCTTAAATNAAGAAGTAAAGTTTCTACATGGGTACACCAATATGGAAGTAGTCTTTGGGAAGGTTTTAACACCCAGGAGAAGGTGTTGACATGCTGCCAGACTGGCTCTTGGAAGTTTGGAGAGAGTAACAGCCCCTCTTAAATAAAGTAGAAATTCTAGAACTGGCAGGCAGTGGAAGAAGGGGTGAAAGGTTTAAGGAAGTGAGTATGCTAGAATGAACAGACTGTGTAAGCCTTGAAAACCCACCAGATGACTTCATTCTGCAGGAAGGCCAAAGCAATGAAGAATATGCTGGTGAGAGATATAGCATAGCCTCTCTGAGCTATCAGTGGTAGCTCTCCTCTGAAGGGCAGGATTGATGGTAGAGATGTTGCAGAACTGGATTCTCTAATAGCAATGGGAATGATACGGTCCCAGAATAGTAGAGGCCAGGTGGTAATCCTCAAATATCAGAAGCCAGGTGGTGCAATTATAATAATGAGCAGCAAGGTTAGAATGAAATCTGGGAGAGCCTGATGGGCAAAGAGTTATGGAGATGGCATCTCTAGAGGTAAGATAGTAAGAGTTCTGCATAAAATTCCAATGTGTGTTGGGGAGGGTGGGGGATTCCCCACACCAACCAGCAAGTCTCCAACACCAACTGGGTGTTTTACAACTTAATTCTGAATCATCTACCTAGAGATAGCATCAGATTCCACAGGTTAAGAGCTCAGTTCCACAAGGCTGCTCTCCACTTCAGATGCCAATCACAAAGGTCGTTTTTCCAGTCCCCACATTATAATTAGGGTGGACATATCTGGTAGTTAGCACAACTTCCACATTGCTTTCTTGACCTGTGTGATAGGAGCTATTGCAATGAGGAAGACCAAGTGAACATTTCTCAAGCTACTCCCTCCCCCAACACATCCACCAATAAATAAAAAACCATTTCATCCCCGGGGGGCAGGGGGAATGTCAGAGATTAGTAGTACCTTTAAAAACCTAAAGAATGCAGGGGTCCTGGTCCCCAATGTATCTTCATTTAATTCACTACTCCAGGTCTTGCAAAAGCCAGGTGAATCCTGGAGGATGAGAGTGAACAACCACAAATTTAACCAAGCAGTAGGTCTAATTGCAGCAGCTATGCCAGATGTAGTACTTTTGCTAGAGCAGAGTTACACAGCTTCAGGTAGGTGGCAGGAAAGCACTGAGCTGGCAAATGCTTTCTTTTCCATCCCTGTCAAATGGAGGATTGGAAACAGTTTATGTTCTCTTGGACTGGACAACAGTATATATTTACAGTCTATTCCCAGTGCTAGGTTAACTCTTCTACTCCTTGTCATAATATTATACAAAGAGACCTGGACTTCTCACAGAACATCACATGGGTCCACCGTATCTGTGGCTCATGAGCATGTAACCAGACCTCTCACGTCATGTACCCCTNAGTAGGTCTAATTGCAGCAGCTATGCCAGATGTAGTACTTTTGCTAGAGCAGAGTTACACAGCTTCAGGTAGGTGGCAGGAAAGCACTGAGCTGGCAAATGCTTTCTTTTCCATCCCTGTCAAATGGAGGATTGGAAACAGTTTATGTTCTCTTGGACTGGACAACAGTATATATTTACAGTCTATTCTCAGTGCTAGGTTAACTCTTCTACTCCTTGTCATAATATAATACAAAGAGACCTGGACTTCTCACAGAACATCACATGGGTCCACCATATCTGTGGCTCATGAGCGTGTAACCAGACCTCTCACGTCATGTACCCGACGCCCTGACTTCTCTCCCTCAGTTTACACTTATAGCCTTATGGTAGAGGCCTGTGTGTGTTCCTTATGGCCAAATGACAGAATAGGAATAAGATCAAGCTTGGTTTGCAGATGGATTTGCCTGGTATATGCATGCAAGTCAAAACTGCGTGGCCGTGCCAATCAGCAGTGGCCTTGAAAATAGCTATGAGAGGAAATCCTCCCAGTGGGCAGAGCTTCAGGAGGTGTACCTGGGCGTTTACTCTGTGTGGAAAGAGAAGTAGCCCAAGGTTAGAGTACATAGTTTAAATAATAGTGGTAAATGTTTTGGTCAGTTGGTCAGCGTTCTAAAATAGAAAGATTGGATTGGGGACTACAAAAACTTGGGTAAAGGCATGTGAATGGACCAAAGAGAGAAGATACAAACTGTGAAAATCTTTATCAAATGATAATACCCATCAAAAGCATCCATCACTCAAGAGGCACTAAACGACCAGATAGACAAAATAACTTGGGCAGATGTCAGTCAGCCTTTGTCATGGGCCACCCTCAT